AAAAGGAAAGGAAAAAGTAAAAATGAAATGAAGAAAGCTGCTAATGAGTTAGAATGAATGTACAAAAGCGCCAAAAGGAAGGTTTTTTTTTTTTTTTCTTTGAAATAAGAAAACGACAGATGTATTCCAGTAGGAACAGCTGCGCTTTTGAAGTAAATTATATGATAGAAAAGAATAAAAAAAAAAAAACAAATCTTCGAAAAAAAAAAAACAAAAACTGTCCTTTCCGGTGGATAACAAATTTTCATTATTTCTAAAAATTGTATCAAACATATATTTATGAAATATTTTCGCCAAATTTTATATGAATTTATGGGAATTTTTGTAAAAATAATCACAATTTTCAATAAATTAGTTAAAAAAAAAAAACGAAAAAAAGGTAAGGTTAAACTAACTATTGATGTGTTATTGGTTGAAAATTGACCGTTGGTCAATTGTTGATAATCTTCTTCAAATGGTGACGGTAATTGAGATGATGAATGTGATCCAAGGAATAATTCTAATGTTGAGAATTCTTGAAATCTTACAGTATCATACCAATTGAAATTATCACTATTGCACACCGGTAATGATGGATTGCAATGTTCAGCTGAATAATAACGTGGACCAGAATTCAGCAATGATGAAAGTAGTTGGATACTGAAAGTATTTAAATTTAATTTATAAAAAATTTGTCAAATATTTTTTCAAAATTTTGTGAAGTTTTTATAACTTAAATGAAATCGTTTAACTTTTTTTTTTTTTTTTGCGAATATTTTAGAAATATTATAAAAGGTCAAATATACAACTTTTTTTTTTTTTTAGAATAAATGGATTTTTGGTGACATACAATCTATAGGTTCGGTGACATTAAAGAAAAAAATTGATAATTATTTCTTTTAAGATTCGACTTCTTAAGAGCAGAACGTTTTTGAAGATTTTCAAATAAATCTATAAGCTAAGTAAGTCAATTGCTTAAAGCTTTTAATTGATGTCACAAAGCAGATAGAGGGACTCGGCATGAATCATCAGATGAGTAATACATGAGCAACATAAGAGTCATTAATTATATCATGAATTCTTCATTTATTCTTTTCTTTTTTTTTTTTGGAAATCTTATAATTTATGAAATGACAAAAAGATGTGAAACATCAAAGATTGAATAAAAATTTTAATTTCTAAATTAGTCATCAAAAATTTCCGAATATTTTAAGATTTGAATGAAACTTTCAGTAATGCAAAAGAACAGAATGTTAGAATCATATCGATGAATCATTCATTGATCGGAATAATGATTTACTGTGATGATTCAGAGGTAATTGATCCATACTTTTTATAAAGATTGATTCTTACCTGACACTCTTTTCATTTTAATATTGCAAATTTTGTGAAAGGTTAAAATTGTTTGCAAAAATGAACCTAAAATGAACCTTAAAAATGACCTTTATTTGAATTTTCCTGAGTAAATAAGAGGAAATAAAGATGTAAACAAACAAGAAACAATAAATAAACAATTAAATTGTCATAAGTTACAGAATAAATGTCACCATCGTAAAGTTGACCTATCTCACCTTGCCAATTCTTAATAATTATCTTATCAATTTCAATGGATAAAGCATTTGATACAAAATTTTATTACTTTTTGTAGTTATATTTTACTATGAATATATTGTATAATACATTTTTCATTGTAGAGAAAGTATGTATTTAAATTTTTTTTTTGGCCAAGTTTATCTTCTGGGCATATTTATTCGAAGTGCAATAAAATATGAAATGAATTTTTAAAAAATGTGAAATTTGAAAAAATTCGAATTTAAAATTTGAAACAAATTCTTTGTTAACTTGATAGCTAATATTGTTGATTGCTTAAATAAACAATGCCATAGATAAATTAATTAGTATTAGAAGAAAAATATACATTTTTGAACCAAAACTTTTTTTTTAAAAAAATTTTTGGCCAAACATATCTTTTAATACATTCTACCAATCCCTGAAATTCTTTCAGAATTAAATTATCTATTCTAGATAAAGTTTTTGCAACATAAATATTTGCATATATATGTAAACAAGGAAAGGGAGAGAGAGAGAGGAGGGAGGACAGAGAGAGAGGAGGAGAGAGAGAGAAGAAGATTG